TTAAAGCCATCCACTTGTGGTATTTCTGTTATAGCAGCACTAGATGACTAAGACATCTAGGGTCACACATATGCAAAGAGACTGAATTATTAATGAGCAGACATGAACTAGTGTTCGTCAAAGTCAGGCTTCTTGTGGGATGTCACACTCTGATTCCCAGGTTATTTCAAGCATGGTTGCCTGTTGAAAATGACTGTCAGTGTCCATGACTTATTCTCTTAAATGTCCTTAAAAATAGATCATCATCAAATCTTGTTGGTGGGTTTGACTTTTGAAAGCCAAGAATTTGAGTCATGGCCAAGTGAGGTGGATAGGGTTGGTCATCAGACTGGATGGTGATGCTTTGGGTCAGAAGGAGGAGGTGTAACCACGAGCTCAAGTGACAGGTTTCTTTGTTTGGTGCTTAAACAGTGTAGGAGGCCATAGTAAAGCTCGTTGCCTGAGGGTGACTTCATAACAAATATGTAGGCTTCAGAGCTGATGACTTGGAAGGACCACACTCATTTGAATGTGTTATATTCATTAACAAATAAATGAGTTTGTTCAGTAGTGTCTAATAGAGTTTGGTCTCTAGAGCAAGACTGTCGTTAGTTGCTATTGAGTTAGCTCCAACTCATGGCGACCTTATTATGTATATAGTAGGATAAAATGTTGCCTGGTCCTGTGTCATCTTGATGATCGCTGGTATGTTTGAGTCCATTGTTGTGGCAATTGTGTCAGTCCCTCTCATTGAGGGTTTTCCTCATTTTTGCTGACCTTCTGCTTTACCAAACATGATGTTCTTTCCTAGCAATTGGTCTTTCCTGATGATGTGTCCAAAGTAAGCAAGCCAAAGTCTCGCTATCCTTGCTTGTAAGTATTCTGTTTGTATTTTTCCTAAGGCTGCTTTGATTCAAATCCCAGTTCTGCCATTTATTAGCTGTGTAAGTGAGCAAGTTATTGAGCCTCTCTAAGCCGCACTTTTCTCTCTGTAAAATGGACGTAGTTGTATCTACTTCATAGGGTTGTGAGCATTAAATGGGATCCCGACGAAAGGTGCTGAATGAGAATTGAGGTGATTACTATTAGCTGTTACAGATCTGTCCCATTTCCCTTTGGTCACATCGGGAAGATGTCAGTTAACACAGAAGACTGTATGTGTATGACAAACCCACATTCAGTTAAGGCTTAATAGCAGCCGACCCAAAGAATTACATTGATGGACTGCATTTGTTACTCCTCAGCTGGGCATTTTGGCCTTCAGTCAACATAAGCCAAGGACTGGCTACCATGTTGCTTATCAGCCAAGGGAAAAAACCCAGGGAGGAGGAGGCAAGTTGAAGGTCCAGTTCTTTGGCAGTGGTACTGGATGAGGAATTTGCTGAGGACTCCAGTTAAGGCCAAATGCCTAGCATCTTGTGACTATAGGGAGGGAAAATGAACAATTTAACTCATTTTCTTCTTTCTCTATCAGAGACACGTTTAATTCATGTTTCTTCCTCATGTGGAGGCCTTTCCCTTGAGTGGAATGGCGTGGGGTGGGGGTAGATGTGCAAATCAGTGGGCTGTGCCACCTTCCTCCACTCTGCGGCCCACAGCCTGTGCCAGGGCTGAGTTACAGAACAGACGTTGTTGCGTGTATGGGTGCTGACCAAATTCGCTTTAGGAAGGGAAATACACCGTTATTCAGCAACAGCCACAGATGTTTGGCCAGGGAGCAACGTTTACCAGTGTCCCAGGAGGAATAGCAGTGGGAGGGGGATCAGGCTGCCTTGCTGCTCACAACCTTTCAAAAATGACATCCAGGGCCTTGCATAAAGTCCAGAGTCCTTGACATGACTCTCTGGTCCTCTGCGCCCCGGCCCCTGCCTGCCTTCCCAGAGTTGTCTCTTACAGTTTTCTCTCTCTTTGCTGCCCACTTCAGCAAGTCTGAACCACTCTTAGGTCCCTGGATGTGTCTTATGTTCTCTCTCTGTCGCTCTCTCTTCTAGGTCTTTGAGTATGCTGTTCCCTCTGCCTAAAACCCCTTTCCTGTCACTCCCACTGCCACCCTCCCCATCTCCTGACTGTCCACGGTTGTCTGAGTTGGACCACAGCCCTCGTTCTTTCCTTTCACAGCACACTGTGTGCAAACAGCCCAGTTACGGAATGTCTCCCCAGCTCGAGTGAGGGCAGGGGCTGGGGACTGTCTGTCTTGCTCACCATCACAGCCATGTCTGGCACACAGCAGGTTCCAGTAGGTGATTGTTGAATGAATGGGGTCTTAGACCTTGACCTTTGGGGATCCCATGCCTGCCCCAGTTCTGGATTACTTTCCCCAGGGATTATATACTGGGCTGGCAGAGTGGGTGATAGGACCCTGCTACAAGGGACCGTTTGTCATTTTTTGTTGATGAAGTGGGAGTTGGAGTTGCTGCCGAAATATGCCTGCAAATTGGTTTTCCATTCCTCAGCATACCGGGGCCTCCTGAGCTTGTTCCTTCTGTGTTCCTCTGAGTCTCTGCCCTTCTATCCCCTGAGGCCCACAGTAATGGGGTGCTTTCCATAGACCTGAGCCGGCCAGGAGGTGTCTCTGGGAGATTAAATATCAGGACCCCCTCTATTTCCTCTCCCCCAAACACTGGCCTGGCTACAGCTCTGGGGAGAGAGCAAGTGGACACGCCAGGCAGGAATGGCAGGGGAAAAGTTTGCACATTTGGGCCTTGGAAAAGGGAAATTTGTGCAGACCTGTGTTCTCCAGGGGCATGTGCACTTGGCCATGGGAGCCGCGGGGCAGGGAGGGATTTCCTTTCCCACACACCGTATGGGCACCCAGCGTTTCACTCTGTTCTGAGCCACAGGGCCCATCCCGCCTCCCTCACAGGCCCAGGTGGCTTTCGAGGGCGGTGTCTGGAGGAGTGGAGCAGACAGCTTTCGGAAACTTGACTTTGTCATTGCCCCCTCAGTACAGCCTTGAGAGTGACTCTGGTCCAGCAAGGGTTTCGGGGGCACAGTACACCTAGGAGGGAGTGACTTTGTTTTTTAATTGTGGTAAATATATATGTAAGAAAACATTTGATATTCCAACACTCTCCACGTGTCCAACTCAGTGACACTAATTATATTTATTACGCTGTTCAAACGAGGTAGTTACAGTTTTTCAGTGGGAGATGGAGGCTGGACGGGGGCGGAGTGGGTGTGTTTTCAGCGCCCCGGTCTCTCTGGCAGGTCTATAACTTGACCCAGGAGTTCTTCCGGCATGGTAAACCAGTCAATGCTGAGAGTCAGAACAGCGTGGGGGTGTTCACCCGGGAGGAGGTGCGCAACCGCATCAGGGATGACCCTGACGACCCAGAGGCCACCAAGCGCCTGAAGCTCGCCATGATCCAGCAGTACCTGAAGGTATCTTTGCCATCTAGGAGCTTGGTGGCGTGCAGGAACCAGAATGAAGAAAATTGATTGTGCGGGAGTCGGGGTCCGATGGGGGGTTACGCTGCTCTGAGGTCCTGCCCCTCCCCCTGCTCAGCCCTGGCGCTCACCTGGCCTCTCTCTGGGTCTCCCTACAGGTGGAGAGCTGTGAGAGCAGCTCGCACAGCATAGATGAGGTGTCCCTCAGCGCCTTTGGGGAGTGGACCGAGATCCCTGGCGCCCACCATATCATCCCCTCAGGCTTCATGCGGGTTGTGGAGCTGCTGGCGGAGGGTATCCCTGCCCACGTCATCCAGCTGGGGAAACCTGTCCGTTGTGTCCACTGGGACCAGGCCTCGGCCCGCCCCCGGGGCCCTGAGATTGAGCCCCGGAGGGAGGGTGACCACAATCACGACCCCGGGGAGGGCGACCAGGGGGGAGAGGAGCCCCGGGAGGACAGGCGGGGTGAGGACGAGCAGTGGCCGGTGCTGGTGGAGTGCGAAGACTGTGAGGTGGTCCCGGCGGACCACGTGATCGTGACCGTGTCACTGGGCGTGCTCAAGAGGGAGTACACCAGCTTCTTCCGGCCAGGCCTGCCCGCGGAGAAGGTGGCTGCCATCCACCGCCTGGGAATTGGCACCACCGACAAGATCTTTCTTGAATTCGAGGAGCCCTTTTGGGGCCCCGAGTGCAACAGCCTACAGTTTGTGTGGGAGGACGAGGCGGAGAGCCGCACCCTCACCTACCCGCCGGAGCTCTGGTACCGTAAGATCTGCGGCTTCGACGTCCTCTACCCACCCGAGCGCTACGGCCACGTGCTGAGCGGCTGGATCTGTGGAGAGGAGGCCCTCGTCATGGAGAAGTGTGATGACGAGGCGGTGGCCGAGATCTGCACGGAGATGCTGCGTCAGTTCACAGGTGCGTGCCGGCATCTCCATGCCCCACTTCCTGCTCCCACTGGCCTCTTCCTCGTCTGTATCCTCTGATAAAAACCAGTTGCCACGGAGGTGATTCTAACTCATGGTGAACCCATTGTGTCAGAGTAGAACTATGCTCTATAGGAATTTTAATGGCTCATATTTTGGAAGTAAATCACCAGGTGTTTCTTTCAAGGCGCCTCTGGGCGGATTGGAACCCTTAACCTTTTGGTTAGCAGCTGAGTGCGTTAACCCTCTGCACCAGCCAGGAACTCTTATCCTCTGATAAAAACCATTTGTTGTTGAGTTGGTTCCTGCTCATGGCAACCTCATGTGTGTCAGAGTAGAACTGTGTTCCATAGGATTTTCAGTGGCTGATTTTTCAGAAGTAGATTTCCAGGCCTTTCTTGTGAGGTGCCCCTGGGTGGGTTGGAACCACGAACCTTTCTGTTAGTAGTCAAGTGCTTAACCATTTGCACTTCCTAGGGACTCTGAATTTTCCGCTAGCTCTCCCCACTCTCCAGACTGTCTCAAACTGAGAGGGCGTGGTGGTCACTGGAGAGCCACCACCGGCTCAGCCTGGGGCCCCTAAATTGCTGGCTCTGCTTTCTGTTTGAAGCAAGAAGCACTCAAAAAGAGAGGTGCTGTGTTTATTCTCTCTTCCTAAGGCCTGGTGGTAAAAAAACTCTGACATTATCGCCAATTGCCCATTTCCTGCCGAAACTGTCTTGCTAAGGGTTGGATTTATATTTTATTGTCTAACCCTTTTAGGTGAACATTTTTTGGCTTTAAAGAACAAAATTTCATTTTCTCACAGTTCAGGAGGCTAGAAGTCTGAATCGGAGGTGTCACCTCTACGGGAAGGTCTTTGTGTCTTTCAGCTTCTAGTAGCTGCTGGCAATTCGTGGTGTTCCTGATCTTACAGATTCATCGGTCTCCATCTTCTCATGGGGTCTTCCCGTGTTACAACTTTTCTTTGCCTTCATGGTTTAGATATATTCTTATCCCTTCTGACTATCTTTATCCTTAAACTAGGGGTCTTAGTCATTGTGATTCGATTGCTGATATATTTGGGTTTGTTTTCATCTCGTATTTTACAAAGTCCATTTGTCCAGCTGTGAATTTCTTTTCCT